GCAGCTCAGAAGCGTTAGACAATGAAGGCTACTGCTAGCATTCATTTGAATGATTTCCTACTTGTTAGCCTAGCCTAGCAGGTGGGATTCCACAATACCTTTTGCTTTCTTCTAGACCCTTTTATTTTATTATTATATTAATTGATTTATTCTTTTCAATTTTATAATTAGATTGGAAATTACACTACAGAAATTAATTTATATAGGATGGGAGATACATTTGTATTTTATTTCTATACATTTATAACTTGTGGCATATACTACACATGTTATAGAATTTATATAGGAAACAGATACATTTATCTGTTGCTATATACCTTGCACCATACACTACACACCTTACAGAATGTATATAGGAACACAGATAAATTTATATATTTGTATAAAAACAAGACACTATGAAACACACCATGAAGCATGGTGGAAAAGCAGCTGGAAAGTCTTCAGGGAGGGGCAGAAGAGAGGGTAGAGGGAGAGGTGTAAGTTCTGCCCTCCCCCCCAAACTGAGACGCAGTCTCTTTCCTCTAACTAAAAGGGATGACGGTGTAGTGCGCCGCCCCCCCCGCCGCGGCCCCCAGCCATAACTGCCCCCCACAACATGACATCAAGAAACAGCACCAACATAATAGTCTCTTCCACCCACATTTCACTTCCCATGCTGAACTTTCCAGTGCTAGAGGAAGAGCTGGAGCTGGAGCTGGAGTTGGAGCTGGAGCTGGAGCTGGATCTGAGTGCCCTAGCAAGGGAAATTCTGGAGAAGGAGGGGAACCAGACTGAGCTTGTGCTGCATACTCTTCAAGTTTCCCCTAGAGCCAGGTCTCCTACCCCAGAAGGCACTTCAGAGGAGGCTGAGGTAGAGGTTGCGGTGGCAAGTGGCTCAGCTCAGTCCCCTCCTTCTGTTGCTGTGCCTCTGCCTCTTGAGGAGGGGGAAACTGCAGCATCCACATATACACTCGCACCCCAGAAATGAGCGGGTAGTGTGGTCTGGGATCATTCTGAGCCTGCAGATGTTCCTACATATGCCATCTGGCTGTACTGCCAAGCCAAAACCAGATGGGGCAAGAGAACAAAACACACGAGCACCACGGGGATGTTGATGCATCTCCTCAGGCACCACCCCTTTGCCCTTGCTTCTACTCAGCCTGGCACGAGTGGGAGCATGCCCAAAGGGAAGTCCCTCTCTTGCTCCAAAGCCCCTGTCCCCCCAAAGCAGAGGTAGGCCACCCTGGAACAGTGGGGGAAAGGCAGACAGAAAGGGGCGTGTTGCAAGGACGAGCAAGATCACCTGGAGCATTGGGGAGATGCTTGCTGTCGATGGCCAGCCCTTCTCCTTAGTTGAGCAGGGGTTCAGGTGGCTCGTGGTGCTCGTGGCCCCATCCTACCAAGTGGCTGCATGCATCACCTTCAGCAGAACAGTGGTGCCCTCCCTGTATGAGGCATGCAGGGAGTACTTGAGGGAGGAGCTGCACAAGTCAGGGCCACAGGTGGCCTTACACTTCACCTTGGACATCTAGAGCAGCCAGGGTGAAGATCATGCCTACCTCTCTCTCACAGGGCATTCGTGTGACCAGTCAGGCTGTCGGTGGGCTCTCCTTGAAGCCGAGGTGATGGATGAGTCCCACTTGGCAACAGAGATCATGTGGCCCATAAACCACTTGGTGCAGGGATGGCTCACTGGGCAGGGTGAGCTCACCTACGGGTTCATGGTCAGCGACAATGGGGCCGATATGGTCAAGACAGTCCATGATGTCAACTCTGTTGGCATCCATCGTGTGGCACACAAGTTCCACCTCATAGTCAGGGATATCTTAGAGGGGGACAGGGCTGCCAGCAAGCTCATTTCCAAATGTAGGAAGGTGGCAGGCTGATTCCACTGGAGCAGCAAAGGGGGCAAGGTGCTGTGGGACAAACAAGCGGAGCTGAACAGCAACAAATAGGAAGAGTCCTATTCCCCCCCAGCAGCACCTGGGGTGACGAGGAACAAGGCCAGAAGCTGCTGGAGAATAGGTTCAGGTTAGAGATTAGGAGGCACTACTTCACTGTCAGGGTAGCTAGGATCTGGAACCAACTTCCTAGGGAAGTGGTCCTCGCTCCTACCTTGGGTAAATTAAAAAAAGAGGTTGGATGAACATCTGTCTGGGGTCGTGTGATCCCAGCATGTGCTCCAACCAGTGGCGGGGGGTTAGACTAGATGATCTATTCAGGTCCCTTATGACCCCTAACTACTGTGAAACTATGAAACTATGATATAGAAGAACTAGAGAAGGCCCAGAGAAGGGCAACAAGGATCATTAGTGGTATGCATGGGCTTCTACAAATAGAGAAAGACTAAAGAGGGATAGGCCTATTCAATTTAGAAAAAATTGCTTGAGAGGGACATGATAAGGGTTTACAGACACACGAATTTAAACAGGGTTTACAGACTACTAAATGGTGAAATAAAGTAAACTGATTTATTAGGCAAGGTTCTTTGGGTAGATGTGATATCTTTTATTAGACCAACTGACTAGTTGAAAAAATGTTTTTTTGCAAGATTTCGGGGACAAGCACCCTTCTTTAGGCATAGGGAGACTCTGCTGTTGTTCTGAGATCTCCAAGGAATAAAAGAAGTTAAAAGTGTGACAGGAGGTCATTGCAAATGTGAATAAGTGGAAATTAGGAAAGCAAAGGGTAGATAAGGGGGAAACGAGCGGGAAATAATTCCAAAGGTAAGCAAGGGAAGCTCTGCTGTAGTTGAGTTATCCAAGGTAGAAAAGAGGCAGTCTGAAAAAGACAATAGCTGGAAATTAGGAAGACAAAGAGTAGAAAAGGAGGGTAGAGGAAGAAGGGGACACACAATACAAGAACTAGGGGTCATAAAATGAAATCAGTAGGTAGTAAGTTTAAAACTAACAAAAGGAAGTTCTTTTTCACACCACACATAATTAAAGTATGGAATTCATTGCCACCTGATGTGGTGTAAGCTGTAGGCCTGTGCAAATAGGGAACTATTTGATTCAGGTTTGGATTCGGCCAATTCAGATGCCAGCAATTCAATGCGGAGCTCCGAATTGGTTTCCCGCTTCAATTTAGAGATTTGGCCATAAACTACAATGGGGAATCAATGAAATATCTATAACTTTGTTGTTTTTTTGTCTGATCTGGATGAAACCTATGGGGTGGTAGCCTCTGCTGAGAGCATGAAGCCTATCAAGTTTCAAGGAGCTAGGTGCAGGGGTTTGGGGAAGCTACACTTCAAGTTGCTGACCAGCAAAACTCATGACATAGAAGACCCTGTGTGTGTTAAGGTGCAGCAGGGTCAAAACTGCAGTTATAGTAGCTCTTACTGAGGCCACAAAGCCTGCCAAGTTTCAAGGAGATAGGTGCAGGGGTTGAGGGAAACTGTACCTCAAGCTGCAGACAAGCAAAACTCATGACATGGGTGACACGGTGCGTGTTAAGGCGCAGCCACAAAGGCTGCCAGCAGGGGCTTCTGGGTTCTGGGGCCCCGCACCCCTAGCCGCCAGGCAAAACTCGTGACACGGGTGGTTGTGCAACTGACTGTGTCTGTCTTGGAGCAGAAGCAGTTCGGCTCTGTATTGATTATTTCCTCTCCTTAGTCTGTGGTTTTGTAGGTGTTAATCCTGCTCATTAATTTATCTAGTAGCTACTACCTAGCTTCTGTGTATTGAGCTGGTCCCTGAGTGAAACGTGATTGATTGGTAACACAGTAGCTTAGCACCCAGGCCTGCAGTAGTTCCCCTCCCCAGCCCAATCCGTACCCCAAGACTGACACAGTTGCACAAGCACCCATATCACGAGTTTTGCCTGTCAGCAGCTAGAGGTACAGGGCCCCAGAACCCAGAAGCCCTGCACCGATCTCCTTGACAGCTGGCAGGCTTCGTGGCCTCAGCAGGGGCTAGCAAGCCTGCAGTCTTGACCCCGCTGCGGCTTAACAAACACTCGTGACATGAGTTTTGCTTTCAAGATTTTGGGGTGTAGTTTCCCCCAAACCCCTGCACCTATCTCCTTGAAACTTGGCAGGCTTTGTGGCCTCAGTAAGAGCTACCATCCCTGCAGTTTTAACCCCGCTGTGGCTTAACACACACATGTGACATGAGTTTTGCTTCCAGAACTTTGGGGTGCAGTTTTCCAGAAACTCGATGCACCTATCACCTTGAAATTTGGCATGCACCATGCTCTCAGCAGAGGCTACCATCCCTGCAGTTTCATCTGAATCAGTCAAAAGACAACAAAGTTATAGATATTTCATTGTTTCCCCATTATACCCTATAGCCAAATCTCCAAATCTTTCCCAAATTAATTCAGAAGCTCCGAATCGATTCGGAAAGCCTAAAGCTTCCTGCAATTTGATTCAGATTCATAGATTCAGCCTCTGAATCATCTGAATTATCTCCAAATCCGAATCATAATCCGAAGCTTTGCACAGCCCTAGTAAGCTGACCATTCAGCTAGATTCAAAAGGGATTGGAAAAATTCTTGAAGGAATGGGGCAGTTAGGGGTACAGCCTCAGAATTAACTTCCTATGCCTTAAATGCTGAAGTCTGCAAGTGAGAGGAACAGTGGAAAAAAATCCTGGTCATACCCTATTCACTCGCCTTCTCAGCATCTACTCTCTGCCACTGAGACACAGGAGACTGGGCAAGATGGACCTGTGGCCTGACCCAGTATATGGCAATTCTTATGTTCTAAATTGGGACAAGTAAACTGGGGATATCTATAGATGTCTCTGGAGCACTATCAGCTGTGCTGCAATATGTCATGGCACAACTGATTGCACTCCAGTGAAGATGAATGTTTCTAGCCTAAGAACGCAGTTATGGTATACTAAGGTAACTGTTTTTTCCTTCTTTTTAGGATTACTAGAAAGAGCTTAAGTTCCTTCTGTCTAAAAAGGCAGAGGTCTTTTGTGTTCTGTCAAGAGGGTTCTGTTTTAGAAATGAATATGCCAGCAAAAAAACTCCAAATCAAATAATCCCATTTTGGATTCCTTTCGCAGGAAGACCACCTGAGACACAGAGAGCAAAGCAAAAGTTCAGGAACCTTGAGTCAGTTGTCCAGAACTTCTGCAAGCGAGAGCAAGATATCCATGGATACACTACAGAAGGAAAATCAACAAAAGGTAATGGTAATATGTCTACCTTTATGACAGTTTTGGAGACAGACTTTAGCTTCATCTCTTTGTTATTCAGATGCAAAGTCAGGTAGTTCCCTAGGAGTAATAAGCTTAAGCAATGCAAAAGACAGTGCAGCTGTCTAATGATAATATAGACGTAATAACAGTTTTAGAATTTGGAGATTTTTGTCTCAACTGGATATTTTGTGTGTCCAAATAAATGGCTGTGATTAACAGGAAATTTAACAATATTATTTGCAGCTCTTTATCACATAGATAAACAGGAAGAGAGCACTAAACTGAAATGCTCTTTAAAGTGAAGTTAATTTTAAACTGAAGTGAATAACACATGGTATTCAGTATTGTGCAATATTGCTCATGGCGCATGGGCCAAGTCCCGGAGGACTGGAAAAGGGCCAACGTGGTCCCCATTTTCAAGAAGGGGAGGAAGGAGGTCCCGGGCAACTATAGGCCAGTCAGTCTCACCTCCATCCTTGGCAAAGTCTTTGAAAAAATTATCAAGGCTCACATTTGTGAGAGCCCAGCAGGACAAGTTATGCTGAGGGGAAACCAGCACGGGTTCGTGGCAGGCAGATCATGCCTGACCAATCTAGTCTCTTTTT